AAGGGATATTTCCATTTTATATATCGGTAGAGAACTAAACCATTCTTATCATAAGCACTACTGTAATCAAAAGGAGCTGCCTCTGATTATTGTTAGGAGAAAACTCAACAAAAATGTGCTCTGATCTTTTGTTTTCCTTTTTTTAGTGCTTGCGAATTACTTTGCAGGTTTTTAAGTCATCATTCCTAACCAATGGCTGGAAGCTCAAAAGTGCTTGCTGCATGGTGGCATTGTGGCAACATGTTGTACAGATTGCTTCAAGTTCTACAGGATTGCCTGCCATAGAGTACATATTCAGAAATAGCTCCGAACTCTCAAAGAACCTAAACCAAAAAATCATTCGCCTCCAACTTGTCATCATATAAGCATAATATATCCATATACATTTGACATATCAAAGGTACACTTCCAAGTCTTCCTTCACGTGTTCAAGTGAAGATAGCCTATCTAAAAGCACTTACCGGAAAAGAAAAAAATAGGCCTATCAAATTATCCTTGAAAATTGGTCATGATGCCTGGAAATTCATGCTATTTATCCACTTGAAAAACTTATTGAAATAATTTATAATGTGGAAGCCAATCACAGCCAAACCGATACATCATAACTGCCACCCCTTCCCCACCCCCCGGTCAGCAATCTTCTGGCTCCCAAACCAGCACAGCAAGCAGAATGCTACAAAAGAATCCTCCTTTGACTGTTTCAAGACCCCATACAGAGCAAAAATTTTCAAAGAAGAAAACTGATGAAGTCTACTCAATAGCATTACTGACTAGACAACTGCCAACTGCATCAAATATTTCCATGATTCCATCCACATCCAGAAAGTCAAGCAGTGATCCTAATATCACAAGCAACAACAGGGATTGAATTTCTCACCCGCATTCAGAATTTGGGAGACTGATTACTTTGAAATGGGCCAAACAAACTGATCACAAACCACCATATAAGATCTAAAGGCTCAAAACCCTTATAAACCTCAACAATCCTCTCTGAATTAAGTTGATTTGTTCAAAGCTTAGCTCACTATAACTTCTTCCCTCTCTAGTGCCCTTTACAAATCCAATCATCCGTATCTAAAGCAGCAATCCAATAATCACATAAGCTTGAAATATGAACCAAAACAAAGCATAAACATAAAACCAGAGATCAGACAACTATCAAACAAGTGTTCACTCACCATTAAACTACAGATCATACCTCACATCAGATTAACAAAATCCTGATTAACCAAAATTAAGACACACCCAACTCACAATAACACCACCTAAGCTCAGATCAACATTTAAGATTCTGAATTACAACTGAAATTAACACGAAGAGATCACTGCACCATTACAAAAGAAGGATCTGATAATTACCAAAGCGATCAGAGAATCGCAGATGATGCAGTGGAATATGCGTACGTCGAAGGATGCTTTGTTTCTCTCTCTCTCTCTCTCTGGAGGTTGATGATGATGAGTTGTGGTTTTAGAGGGAAAAGGGTGGCAAAAAAGCGTATGAAGAGACGAAGCGAGTATGCAGAGCTGGCAAATATATATATATATATAGAGAGAGAGAGAGAGGGAAAAAAGAAAGAGAAATAGAGGTACTGAAAAGAATGTGAATAGTTCCTGTTCTGTTTTTCTCTCTCTAACTTTTTAGGCTTCTGAGATTTGAAGATGATAAATGTAATTCTGACAATGTATATACAGATATGAAGAGAGGGAGGTATATACCACTTCAAGAGAGAGAGGACGCCATGGGGTCCCTGATGGATGGAGTGGGAGAGACTCAGAGAGAGAGATTTGGAAGGTGATGAGTTGGCGAGAAAGGTCGTTATTTTAAAAAGGTTTAATCTTATTTTACACCCGAAAGAAAAAGAGGAGCGAGTGAGTGTAAGTGTTTCGGATATAAAAGAGGAGGTATGTTATATTTTTGTTTGCAATCAATTTAATACCAATTTTTATATAAAAAATAAGTTTCATTATTCATTCAGAGGTTAACCCTATTGTGTATAACTCGTATAAGACATCACTAATATGTGATTTTACATATAAGTTAATTCTAGAAATACTTATAACTCACGTGTTTTAATTTATGATATAAAATTAAACGACAGTCTAGAGGAGATCTATATTGTTACCAATTTATAACATTGAGGGTATAAATTGAAAATTTTTTTAAGATACAAATTGAGAATCGAAGCAGCTTTTTAGGGTGTGAAGTGATTAGTCCTTTTAAAAAGAACAATTTTATTGAGACATAATTTAAGAACTTAATTTGGAGACTTAATGTGACCATCGAATTTTCAGTAGAGCTCAACATTAAATACATTTCACTATCAATCCAATAATTTTAATGCATTTTTTCTTCTTTAGCGTGATTTTAATGCATTAAGTTCTCAAATTATGTGCATAAATTACGCCTCAATAACATTAATGTTTAAATTTTTTTGGGAGAATTATACTTTGCACCTTAAAATATTTAAAAATTCTCACTTTAAACCCTCAAATAATAAATTTATCACATTACATCCTCAATATATCAAAAGTGTTACAAATATTTTTCTTTTAGTAGATTCTATTATTTTTCGTTAGTGTCAATGAGGTGATTTTTGACAAAAAAAATAATAAAAACTAATAGAATGACACATTGTAACATTTTTGATACATTTGACGGTATAATGTATAAAAAATTATTTTTATAAGTACAAAGTAAACTACTTTAAATTTTTTTGGATACAAAATGTAATTCACCCAAAAAATTTTAAGGCAAAGATCCGGTGATGCCATTAGTCCATAAGGGGTGGTACCGGTCATGTTGGCTTTTCCTTGTATTTTGGATTTTTCTTATTTTCTTCTTTATTTTGTTTATAGTTTTATACACAAATTACGTGATATTGTAAAAATAATAAATATTATCAAACCCACTTTTATTTTATTTTATTATTTTTCATAACAGCTTCCTAAATAAAAATTCAATTTTTGAATTTAATAATGACTATTTCTCAACAGTCATTTTTTTATTTATTTCAGATATAAATATATTATTTCAATAATCATCTTTATAGTATATTATTAAATGTTTCGTGCCAAAAATATTAACTTTCAATTCTTTTCATCTTCTTCTTCTATCGGATAAGTTTTCTAGGCAAATTAAAAAAGTATGACGTGAAGCTTCTACTTAGGGCTGTTAAAATTTGATACGACATGATTAACTGATACGAATCGATATAAATTAAGCATATTTTGGTGAGATTTAAACGGGCTTGGGTGATAAACGGGTTGACACACCAGACACGTTTAATAACAGGTCGTGTTCGGATGAGACATGTCAAACCGTTTATCATACATTTATTCGTTTAAATAAAATTAATATAATAATAAATTAATAATTATTTAAAAAAATTAGTAAGAAAAAAAGAAGTAAATAAATCAATAAAAAAAAAGAAGTAAGAAAATCAATTAAAAAAAAAGAAATAAAATAGTATTTCAAAGACAAATGAGAAGAGATGAGGAGCACTTCAAAGACAAAGGCAAATCACGACATGTAACCGTTTAATCTGACACGATTGACACCCCCCTCTTCTATTTCATTCAATTGTGCAGATCAGAGTGAAATTACAATCAATTAAGTTTAACTGTTGTATCCCGAGAACGACGCGTAATAACTTTCTACATCGTATTTCTTCTACAAAAGGGCATAAATTATCTTACAAAAACGATCTAGTCCGTACTTCAATCAACTGTTCACTTTATTTTTTAAATTCGTATTTCAAATTAATTATAAATACATTAAGCAAATTTTGACACAAAAAACAAAATTAGATACAACAACGGGCATGATATGGGTCACTTCGAGCCCTAATCATACACATCCGTCAGAATTATATTCAAGTGAACAATCATGTGACAACTGTTTCAGCCAGTAAACAAACAGAATAAGAATTAACCAAGTCCTATATAATTCAGCGTTGCGCAAAATTTACCAATGTTGATGGGAAAGGGCAATAGCGTACCAAAAATTACAATTTTTTAACACTAAGTTCTAATTTTTTTTAAGTGTAAATTATTACTTTAAAAGACATGAATAATCATAAAAAATTGAAATTGATATCGAAAGTTCATGATCGATCATGAATATTTGTAATCGATCATTACCTTTCCTAAGTAGTTGTAACTTCTCATTTCAAAGTTGTTACTTTACCATAAAACCGTTGCCAAAAAAAAAAAATTCAGTGATGTAAACTTTCCCGTGTGTGGATATTGGATTCGTTTTGCCTCACAAATTAGCTTTTAACTGATTAAACCTTCAAAATAAGGGAATAAAAAACCAAAAGAATCACAATAATGATAGCAATTAGCAAACCAAAAATTACAAAGCAACTAAACATCCTAGTGAAATAGCAATTATCCTTATTACATCATTCAGAATACAAGGAAATTAAGGAATAACACATTTACAGCAATATTACAACAAGTGCAAGAATTGTAAATAACAGATGGACAAGATGTGAGCAAAAAACTTGACAGTTGACTAAAGTCCCCTCGCGGGGGGGGGGGGGGGG